GAAATGTGCTTGGGAACCTCAAGAGAAGAAGAATTTACCTAATACATACAGGTACCTAACAGCACAGATGAAATCTGGGCTCATGAAAGGTCTTCAAATCTTAATGTGAGATTCCTTAAAAAGGTTCCAGCAAAGCCAATTTTAAAGGGAAGGAGGGCCTGGATACCTAATAATTATTCTTATTGCACTTTATGCAAATAATCAAACCCAGTATACCGAAGGTACAGTTTACTTTGGCTATTGAGTTGGTTCTGCTGTGATTTGTCTTTGTGGGAAGAGGTATCAGAGAGAGAAAAATAGTTCAAGAAAAAAAAGGCTGTGACCCACCTGTATTAAATCCCAGCCTTGTTTGCACTGTCAACTCATAAAATAAGACATAACTGTTTTACTAAACTGATCTGTTAAATGGGACTAAAGAAATGGCCAAAAAATTATAGAATTATATACAGTAATTATATTTATCCTGAAGCCTGAAGACTCAACAAAGATCACCTGTTGGCTACACTAGAAAAATCTGTGCAGTATTAAATGTTATCTGCTGTGTCTAAGTGTTGCTCAGAGAAATCATTCCATAGTTTAGGTTGCTACTCTGATTTAAATTTGACAATGGGCTAGCCTTCATAACAGAAATAATACAAATAATAGCTAAAGCTTTGGGTATCACCTGAAAACTATTTGTAACTTATAGGCCTCAAAACTTAGAGTAAAATGCATGAACAGGGCCCAAAGAGCAGGAATCAGTAAACTCTGCTAGGAAGCAAAGATTAATTAAATATAGGCCTTGCCACTGGTGTTATTCAAAGAAGCCTCTGTCACTCCTCTATAATTTAGCAGGGACCCCTAAAAAAACTGGAAGAAACTAAATTAAATAAACAAAAACCCTAGAAAGAGTAGCACGAAAGATCTCTACTTGGGTAATTAACCAATTAGTCTTTTGTGTTCGTACATTCTTCTCTCTGGAAAATCAAGGAAACCAAGTTTAGATCCAGGATCAAAACCTGTTCCCCCTCAAACCAAGGCAGAAAAGAACTTTACACCATTATCCTGACTACACGCACGGCAGCAAGGATGGAAAGAATCCATCACAGCTAGCTAAATGGAGCTTCACTGCCCCTTGAGAAGTAAAAGTAACTTTTACGACGGTCAACATGCCCTGCTCCAGCTACATACTGGGAGCTGGCTGGTCAACGCATGGCTGAAGCCTGAGGAAACTCCTCAAGGAACTTGTCTTAATTGGACTTCAAACTGAACTTTGGGAAAAGGTGGGCAGGGATATCACACAAGGAAAAGTAAAAACTTATATGTATATGAGCCCACCACCAGAGAAGAGAATTTCAAAGTACTGAGCAATCAAGTTAATCTAGATCTGAAACCAGTATTCCTCCTAGGATTAACATAGGGTCTTGTGCCATAAATGCCCTGATTTCCTACATTCAAAAATGGGTGCAGGCAGCAAAGTAAATATCAACATATATATCAAGATAAAGAGGTAGCAAAGATTTGACTCCCACCAGAGAAGAAGTGGGGAATGAGATGGTGGGCAAGAGGGAGACTCAGCTGACCAGCACTCAGTTCCCCTTTCCCATGCTGGGGAAAGTAAAAACAAGGATAAGGTAATGGGGCAAAGATTAGTAAAAACAGGATGAGGTCTCCTTGGTGGTGCCACTGGTACTTTAGGGTCCTGCTGACTCCATTGTTCTAAAAAATATTTTTCTTACTGAACTAGTTGACCATTAACTGTTATTAAATGTAAGTACCAGAAATTTGCTTCTGTACATACTGGTTGTAAAATCCAGCTGCTTGTGTATTGTTTTTTAGCCTGCATAAGTCACCCTATAAAAACACTGTCCCCAAGCTGCTCATCACTGGTCTTCTGACCTTAGAAGTCAGGCTGGCCAGTCTTAATAAAGGCTCCTAACTGGCTTCTTCGGTCTCATCTCATGTACCATTACATCCAGTGATCCCCAGTCCTCAATTTACAGTAATCAGGTTTGTCTCATTACTGAAGCTCCTCTTCTGTACGGACCCAAATATTTGCTTGCTTTTTTTTTTTT